AACAAGCTGTGGAAATGTGTTTCTTAGTTTGCACGACCCACTCTAACCCTAACAGTATATATTTTATACTATCTATGTCTCTATAATAAAGGAGACATGAGCTTTGAAAAAGAATTATCCATTGTGTTAAATTAGGTAATTATCTGACTTTTCTCCAATTTTGAAGAATCACCAACTAATTTTTTTTAAATCACAGACTTAAAAGACAAATTGTAAAGGCAAACCTGAAGAAGCAGAATTCAATCTTTTCACACATTTCTATACAATTAATATTACTTCTTTGATTTTAATGAAGAAGGGCTGACCTAGCTCTCAGCCCCTAAGGCAAACCTGATTTAACAACTTATCAACCAGACTTCTCATCAAATGAAAAATAAAGTGACACAAGTTAAGAAACAAAATATAGGAAATCAACAGTTAATTCTCAAATATAATTTTTGCCCTTAACTTTAACTTACCTCTACAAATTTGACTAGAAATTGTTATAGGCATTGCTAAAATCAAGTAAATGACACCTTGCTAAATAATTTACTTTCTTTCTTCTCACCTTTTAGGAAAGGTTACTCTGCAGGCACTACCCTTAGCAATAGGGGTCTGTTTATTCATATGCGAAATAAGCATGGGACGGTCCCTGTGGCCTCCCAGGTCAGTTGTAGCTCTAGAATATTGACTGCTGGTGAAAGAACAAAAAGGTCCATCAGGAAGGAGCAGAAACCAATCACTAAGGTAACCAACCAGCCACTAAAACACATCCCTTGCATAAATATAATCATAAAATTAAGATTTGTTGGGAGATCTCTTCCTGCAGAAAAAGGACCAAATGTTGAATCCCTATGTTCAGTGACATACCCAGAGAAACCTCAACCCTGTGCATATTTGTCTTTACTAGTGGTCTCTAAAAGCTTTTGATTCAATATCACCAACAGTGAAAAGGATTTGTGAATGCAAATTTAAATATATATTTATTTATGAATTAGAAATCTATTATGCTCTAATATATCATGAACATTATGACATATAAAAAATAAAAAGTAAAGAATGACATTTAAAAATACATAGAAAGAGGAGTTGTATTTTCTTCCCATGGTAGAAAGTCTACCTGCACGGACTTCCTTGTTCATTCCCTGCGGATGAGCACTCTGTTTCAGCACTCTGTCTAAAACACCTCATCATCACTTGCTGCTCTTGAGATGCTCCTAATAATTACAGCAAGATTACAATCTGTATCCTAAACATTTATATATCACTTTTCAAAATTTACTTTTTTTTCCCTTAATAACATGAGTTTAAACAATATATTCTTTAATTTTTCTTCAAAGAAGTTCACTACAATGTAATGGAACTTTAATCCTACTCAGAACAGGGTTTGCAGCCTTGAGACGGGCATCAGACGGTGAGTGTGCATCACAGGAGGGACATCCTTGTTTTCTTTTGAGATTTATAGCCCAATAGGGAGATGAGAAAACTCAAGTTAGAGCAATACCTGTTGCTTTTCCCCAGCAAAATTACCAAAATTAAGTGAGAACACTATCTGTAGTGACATTTAATAGGAAGAGGGAAGGTTCTACAAAGTAAACAACTAATATTTCCCAGGTAGCGTACTCGCTTTAGCTCAATGGCTAATTTTACTTATAGTTACAAGGTACCCAGAAGCAAAGACTATTTTTATGCACTCTCTTGAACAATATGAGGCAATTCTTTTCCAAGATCCTTTAAAAACAAACTTTACAATTTTTGTTTTTCCAAAGGCTCTTGCAAAGCACACCATTTCCTACTCAGCCTTTGCCACATCTGCCCGCTCATTCACATTCTCATGCTCCCTGGGCACAAGGACCTGGCATGTAAAGACTACAGTACCAGGAACAGAGTTCTACAGTTTATACAGACCAAAATAACTATAAAACACATAAATTAAGGAGATAGAGATGAGTCAACAAAACCAGTGTCAATCTGCCTCTTCTCTATCTTTTAACTTTTCTAAGTTATCTTCTATAAGTTATCATTTGTCATTTTAATCATATCAAATTTCTTTGCTAATTATTAGCAAGGTGTATTTCTACCATTTTTCATTATTTCCTCTGCAAAATAAAATTAAAATAACAGATTTAAAGTGGGCTACAATTAAATAAAATCCTAGTAATAATGAAGATGTTTATTAGACTATACTTAATGCCACCCAAATATCCGTTTGTTACCCTGTTCCCCTATAATACTATGCCATGACCCTGAATTCAGGGTCCCCACTGATACACACAAAATGTTTTCATTGAACTTCTCTCCTCAGGCAGTTGAGAGTGGCTACTAATAGACCCACACGATCTAGCCAGTTTCAGAGTGTGAATTTCTTAAGGTAAGTTTAAAAAAATTTTTTTTCATCTTTGACAAAACCATAAAGTAAAAATATTTGTTCTTTTTTCTCAGCCAGTCTATACTGTGGTCACAAATACAACATTATTTTAGGATTCCACCCACATTTATTTTATTTATAATTTTTGTTTTTTTAGAGTCCCAAACCATGAGGGCCACATATTGGACTGATGCAGTCTGTCAACCATTTAAAATAATACGTGCACTGTATTATATCATTGAAATTTGCTAAGATAATAGAACTTAAATGTTCTCACCAAATAAATAAATAAATAACTGAGGGGATGGATGTGTTAATTAACTAGATGGTGGGAATCCTTTCACACTGTATATTTAAATCACCAAGGTGTACACTTCAAATATCTGACAATTTTCTGGTCAACTACATCTCATTAAAGCTGAAAAATAAATAAACAAATAAATATACTTATTCATTACCATAAAAAATTAAAAATTAAATAGAATAAAATAACATGTGCAATACAAGGCTGTTGGCCTGAAAATAGAAGACTCGTCACCTAATACCTATATATTCCACAGCTGCTATAAGACCTTAATTATATTTATAAAGTGGTACAAGAACCTAAGATTAACATATCACAAGTATAAATTTTGTTATCATCACTGTGTCTCACTTTCTCCTATATTAATGCACTTTCCACTTCTACTTAAGCCAATTATACATCATCAATGAAAGGTAGAAAAATGGGTATTTTAGGACAGAAGCTTGTCTTCTTCTATGGAGCTAAAAATTCTGAGATTCTTCTCCCCACATTTTGCTAATAAGAAAACTAAAAGATCTCCAGGAGAGTGAGGGACTCTCCTCTGCTGGGGCCTCCATCCAGTACAGAGAATGTGTACCTAGTATTTTTGACCAAAAGCAAAGCTTCACTTATGAAAACATCCCCATCTTCAAGGATATTATACATTCCTTGGAAAGGAGGGCTTTGCCAGGTTAAACTGTAATTAACAAATCAATAAAAACAGATGAAGTATCAGCCTTCTCTGAGATTTTATAGAACTATGCAACATATTTTCTTTTCTGAAAATATTTAAGCAAGAACTTTTGGTCAAGAAAAAACAGTAGAGAGCCAGAAAGTATAACACCCTCCTAAAACTAAATTAGTTTGGTAAGTTTATTCTGAGAAGTTTAATAATTCCTACTAAAATGTTTAGTATGTTTTTCTAATACTTCAAATGGATTTTTTTTTTAGAAGAATGGTTTATATTTTCAGGAGGTGATCAAAATGATCCATGAGAGAGCATTACTACATTATGTTTACACTTAATATAATTTATTTAAAATTGGATTAGAACAATAATAATAGTTGGAAAATATACTGGGAAAGAGAGACTTGAAATGACAGGAATGTAAGACCTAAGAGATATAACAATAAAGCAGACAGCGATTGAAATAACACATATAGAAAAGGAAAAATAAAAAAACATGAATAAAAAATGTGGACACCTTAGCTAAGGTCAAAAATATTGTCCTCAGGGGGCCAGCTCTGTGGTGCAGCGGTTACGTTTGGTGCGCTCCACTTCAGCGGCCTGGGTTCACGGGTTCAGATGCGAGGCATGGACCTACATCATTTGTCAGCCATACTGTGGTGGTGATCCACATACAAAATGGAGGAAGATGGGCACAGATGTTAGCTCAGGGCTAATCTTTCTTAAAACGAAAGGAGGAAGATTGGCAACAGATGTTAGCTCAGGGCGAATCTTCCTCAGCCAAAAAAAAAAAAAAAAAAAAAATTGTCCTGAGAATTGAAAATTAAAAGAGGTAAATATCTTAGAGAAAAGAAGGTCTTAAGAAGCTAAGAACATCTTGTAAAGTTTGCAGGTGTTTTTAAAACTAAGACATGAAAAGGTCTAAGTAAAAAGAGCAAAGATAAGTTAAACTCGAATTCTTTTACCACTAAAAAAAAAAAAAATTAAGAGGCAAATATTTGGTTTCTGAAATTAGGGTGGGAATATAAAATTCTCAACAACCAGCAATTTAAATTTCTTTCACAGAATGAAAAATAAATGTTCAACTGCACCCTTCTGCTTTTCTCCACTGTCACAAAATGACTTCCTTTGGCTCTGTCACTGTTATGCATTAAATTATGTCTTCCAAAAATATATGTTGAAGTCCTAACCCCCAGTACCTCAGAACATGACCTTATTTGGAAATAAAGTCCTTGCAGAGGTAATTAGTTAAGATGAGCTCATATTGGAGTAGAGTGGGCTTTTAATCCAATATGACTGGTGTCCTCATAAGAAGAGGGAAATTTGGACATAGCGACAGAGACACAAGGAGAACACCATGTGATGAGGGAAGCAGAGGTGAGAATGATGCAGCTGCAAGCCAAGATGATGGCCACGCAGTGATGGCCTCCATCAGAAGCTAGAAAGGGGCAAGGAAGGAGGCTACCTAGAGCCTCAGAGGGATCATGCCCCTGCTGGCACCTTTATTTTGAACTTCTGCAAGAGTATGGATTTCTTGTGTGTAAAGACATTCACTTGGTGGCACTTTGTTATGGCAGCCCTAGGAAACTAATACAGCCACTGTGTTGTGCTGCCAACCCCAATGAGAAGTCTAACTAAAGGACACTGATTAGGAGAGCAGTGTTGGTGCCAGGAAAACTTACCTGCAACGTAGTCGCCAAATCCAATGGTTGTTAAAGTGATAACCACAAAATAAATGGCGTCCAGGGCACTCCAGCCTTCTATGTGCTTGAATATGATCGCAGGCAGAGCAACAAAGAGTACACAGCCAAACAGTATAAATATGATTGTTGAGATGATGCGAATCTTGGTCTGACTAACATTCCACTTCTAAGGATCAGAGAGAAAGATACAGAGAGAGAGAGAGAGAGAAATTGAGATTGATTGATTATTGGTGTGCCTGTAAAGCTAACCTAAATACACTGTTTTCAGTAAATTAGCAAGTGAGAACATTATTTTATCCCCTTTTATACTTAATTTTCAATCGTCTGTACTCATAAAAATTAGGTATAACATAACTCAAAACAATAAATGCTAATAATGATACTACTTTACCCTTATATAGCTTTACAACAGGTAAAGCATGTACCGCGAGTTACATGCTAATAGAGGTACATATAAATTGCTATGGAAACCCCAAATCCTAAATGCTTTCAAAAGTAAATTCATTTACTCTGAGAATGTGATTTCAGATTTACATCATTCTTTGTTTACCTGAACTACTTTTGAAATATTTCTATTCTAAAGGCATATAACCAATTGTAGGCCAAACACAATCGAAATACATGAAAATGGAGAAAACTGGATCATGAATTAAATATTTACTACTGATAATTAATAAAACTATTAATTTCATGAAGACTTTTTCCTCTCACTCCTATCATGTTTTTCTATCATTATTCAATTTATTAGAGTGTAATACGAACAGATGTAAAGTCCACAGTTGATTCCCATGTCAACCAGATGGCCTTAACCAGATGTTCTATGGCCCTAAACTGCACAACTAAATATGTTAAACATGACATGTAGGCAAAGATAAGTCTTTAACAACCCTAAGCTACAGCTGCCCTCAGAGGACTCATATTTTTTTTGCGTGTGTGTGAGGAAGATCAGCCCTGAGCTAACATCCATTCTAATCCTCCTCTTTTTGCTGAGGAAGATCGGCTCTGAGCTAACAACTATTGCCAATCCTCTTCCTTTTTTTCCCCCAAAGCCCCAGTAGATAGTTGTATGTCATAGTTGCACATCGTTCTAGTTGCTGTATGTGGGACGCAGCCTCAGCATGGCCGGAGAAGCAGTGCATCGGTGCGCGCCCGGGATCCAAACCCCGAGCCACCAGTAGCGGAGCAGGCGCACTTAACCCCTAAGCCACGGGGCCGGCCCAGAAGGACCCATATTTTTTTTACCTCCTTTTCTTATCAGGAGTCTCCACAGTTATAACGTATTAAGTGAAATTTGTACACACAGCAGTTTATCTTCAGATCTCCCTTTGAGGTTAGTCACGATATATATTTCATCTCTCACTGGATCTGTCCTATCTACTGTGAAAATTATAGGTCACATCGCCACCATATCAATATCACTGAATTTTAGAGCCTGAAAATCTTCTAGAGATAAAGATCTGTGAAATCACAGAACAGAGAGCGAAAACAAGTTTCTCTAGTCTACTCTCCTTATCACGTATGTGAGAGTAAAATGAATTCATATTTGCAAAGTTCTCAGAATAGTGTTTAGTTCTAAATGCTGAATCATGACCACTGGAATGTATTCCCCACTAGGGCATGGAATTTGTTTTGTGTGTTGATGTAGATACAGCATGGAAACATTACCCTGCATCCAGTAGGCACTCAAAGATTTGTTGAATGAATAAACAATTTAGTGTTACCAAGTTCATGCCACTAATCTGCCCTCTTGATTAGTATAAATACAGGATACTTTTAAGATCAATATAAGAAAAATATAATACCAAAAAAGGATAAAACTCCTATTTTGGAATAACCATGCCTTACCCCACACTAACAGCAAAAAAATTTCAGAGCTAACTCTGAATGTAAATATGAAACATAACTAATGCTAAAAACTGGAACTAAAACTTAAATTGCAAAAAACAATACTCAATAGTTTTATTTCATCAATGGAGTTAAATGTAAAACACTTTGTTGAAATTTTCGTGAAAAGATAAAACATTATTGAGTAAAAAATAAAATGTTTTTGTGATAGTGGTGACAATAGTAATAAATCATTTATAATCCCACCTTCCTAAATAATCATTTTCTTTTTCTATAATTTTCTTCAAGAATTCACGCTTGTAATCATGAGGGTATTTTTATCATTTTTTACTTAAAATTCTTAAAAAAGCATTTTAATTTTATTTATTTTTCTATTGAATATAATAGAGCCACAAACATCTTCATGTATATTACTGTTGGTTCTACTGAATTACATCCCATTAGATAAATTTCTACCAATGGCATTACTGAATTAAGTTACATGATCACTTTTATCGTGCTTGCTATATATTATTACATCCTTCACAAAAATGCTAGGTAAGTCTACAATGTCACCAGCAAGGAACAAGAGTACCAAAGCAATTTTTCAAATAAAATATTGTTAGTCGTTTACTAGCTATGTTAAGCTTTAATTTATATTATCTCTAACTCTCAGAGTAATGCCTCATCACTAGTACCATTACTCATATTACATAAATGACAAAATGGAGATTTAAGGGTAAAATAACTAGTTTAGAGAATATAGCTAGGAGACACTATATCTGGAATTTGAACCTAGGACTGTCAGATTTCTACCTTTTTTCCTTCATATTTTTGGGGTTTCCTCATGCATTAATTTATTCATTCAGATAAGTATAAAAATAATTATAATACAGTGACTAATACAGTATTATAATACAGTACTACAGTAATTACATGCTAATAGAGGTACATATAAATTGTTATGGAACCTCAATAAGTGAATGTCTAACTGTACCTGAGATGATGGAAAAGTTGTAATATTTTTAAAAATTTAACGGTAAACATACGTGGTTAAAAGGCTATCATACTCACAATAAACGTATCTTCCACTTTTGCAATTCCTTTTCCAAATATGGTCCCTAATTGATCTCCAACTCCAGCCAACAAAAAACCAAAGAGGGGAATTCCCAGTAAGGCATAGATGATACAGAATATTTTTCCCCCTTCTGTGCGCGGTGAGATGTTTCCAAATCCTAAATAGAAAAAGAGGAATTCAGTTGTTTATAAATGAATAATAGTTTAACACATATGACCTCAAGGTTGATTCAGAAATTCCCAAATATTGTAAGATATTAATCACAGATTTCAAGTAGTTAAGAATCCCTTTGTATTACATAACCTTTTAATATATTTTAGTATAAAATACTCTTATAAGCAAATATTTCAATAACCTACAAAGTATAACCAATGTTCCAATTAAATTAGATGATGAAAACTGAGGGGGTAACACATGTAACAAAGCCAATACTTTCATTAAATTTACTTCTGTCTCTCTATACTGATAATCCTGTTACTGGAAAGCTTTCATTGCCATTTATGGAGAAGAGTATATTGCCTTAGTTTAAGAGAATTCAAACATGATTAAAGTATTTAAAGATTAAAGTTTAATAGCAATTTTAAATCTTGTTTTCATTCAAGTACCTGCCAAAGAACAATAACTAAAAACTTAAAATTATCAAACTTTTTAAAGTTCTGAGGATTTTGAAGGCTTTCCAATTTTGTGTAAGGATGTCTACCTGTTACGATTAAGTCAGTTCAACTTTATTTCCCCTCTTTTTTTTAATAACAGAAGCAATATCTACATACATGTTTGAGGTGAAGAATGCATGCCTTCTAGAAGTCCACAGAATACCTCTTTTGATATGTAATCCTCTCCTTGTCCTTTGCATTAAATTAATCTGGAATTCTACTTTTAATTTCCTCTTTTACTCAAAAATGTGGATAGATACTCTAGGATTGGCTTTTTGTTGTTACTTTCTAGTTTTATGACTATTACAGTCAAAGAGCATGGCCTGTACGATTTTTACTTTTGGAATCTAGTGAGATTTTCTTTGTGGCTTTATAATGGTCAATTTTTGAGTTTGTTTCACTGTTATTTGAAAATAACACGATGTTCTATTTGTGGGATACAAAAAGGGCATATATCATCAAAGGGCTTCACATCATTCCCCAAAACCCATTCCTGTTGTGGTTCCCTTACAACACTTCCCTGGGAGAGGAGGGTGGACTAATATTTGGTCACGTTAACCCATATATTTTTCTCCCCATAATATCTCCATCTTTCTTTTCCTCCTACTCGATCAGTTTGGTGTTCATTGCTAGTCAAATCATCTATGGGTTTTGTGGGGCTTTTCTTTTTTTGAGTTTTTTTATTGAGGTCACATTGGTTTATAACATTATATAAATTTCAGGTGTACATCATTATATTTCGACTTCTGTATAGACTGCATCGTGTTCACCACCAAAAGTCTAGTTGCCGACCGTCACCGTACACATGCTCCCTTTACCCCTTTCATCTCCCCCCTGCTCCTTTCCCCTCTGGTAACTATCAATCTGGTCTTCATATCTATGTATTTGTTTATTTATCTTGCGCATATGAGAGAAGTCATGTGGTAATTGTCTTTCTCTGTGTGACTTATTTTGTTCAGCATAATACTCTCAAGGTCCATTCATGTTGTCACAAATGGCAAGATAACTGATGCAGCCACTATAGAAAATCATATGAGATTCCTCAAAAAATTAAAAATACCATATGATCCAGCTATTCCACTTCTGGGTGTTTATCCAAAGAACAAGAAAACACTAATTTGAAAAGATATATGCACCCCTATGTTCATTGCAGCATTATTTACAATAGCCAAGACTTGGAAGCAACCTAAATGCCCATCAATGGATGAGTGGATAAAGACGATGTGGCATATATATATAATTTTTTTTTCAATGTATCTAATTTTCAAGAATTTTGCCTTTTATCATTAGCCTGTTCTTATGCCACAAAAATAATAATTATATCCATTTTTTTTGTTTGTTTTTTGGTGTTGTCCCATATATTAACTCCGTTCCTTGAGAGAAGTCCTATACTTCCTTTATTTAGGTAAATTTCTTCAAGTGTTTGAGAGTTCCTGGTCATATTTTCATACTTGTAAGCACAATACAATATTAAATTGGTTAGTATTTGTATCTGAAATGTGTTTCCCAGCCTCAGTGAGAGTTGCAGTTGATCTTGTAGTGTACATAAGATTCTCTTTAAAGGATCCCCGGGTGAAGTAGTTGTGTTGGCCAGAAAAAAGGGGACCGGCATCCGATTGGGCTTTCACGTGGGTGTGCACCTCATGTAACTTCTGAGAGTCGGGTCTCCTAATTTCTCATGGCAGCCGGCAGCTCACAGCCATTTTACTGCTTCTCAGGCCTGCTGCCTACTCTGGGAATGTCCCTAACATAACTCTGCTTGAAAAGCTTGTATTCACAGCACTATTCTGGAGGCAAAGACTGGAGACAGCTACTGTAAAAGTTAGGATTAGTGGTTCCACAGAACTTTGATGAATTTACAGGCTACTGCCCATGGGCTCACTTCTGCTTCTAATTTTGGTGTCTTTGTGACGTTTCCTTAGAAAAACTTTCTTTCTGGAATCCTCTGTTTTGCTTCTATGGGGGATGTGGGCTTTTCAATTCAAAAAGATTTCACGGTCAATCTGAATCTATATGCATCATATCACTCTCCCAAATCCATTCCTGTTGTGGTGCCCTCACGACACCTTCCCTGCCTTCAAACATACTACGGAATTTTTTCCCACTATTTGTATGTTTCCTGTCATTGCAATGCAACTTTTTTTTTTTTTTTTGTGAGGAAGATCAGCCCTCACCTGACATCCGATGTCAATCCTCCTCTTTTTGCCGAGGAAGACTGGCCCTGGGCTAACATCGTGCCCATCTTCCTCTACTTTATATGGGAGCCCACCACAGCATGGCTTGACAAGTGGTGTGTCCGTGCGCATCTGGGATCCGAACCTGTGAACCCTTGGGCTGCCGAAGTGGAGCGTGCACACTTAACCGCTACGCCCCCCTCCCAGCCCCCCTCAACCCAACTTTTTGGTGATGTGAGGTAAATGCATACTTGTATCAAACAGCTTGTAAGGTAAATTCATGTTTATATCACAAAAGAAATTAGATCTGTGAATTTACCAATGTTTTCTAAGATGTTAAATATTGATCATCTAATGAGTCCACAAATTTATGCAAACATTATGGTTTTTAAAAGTAATATTTTACTTTAAAGTCTAAAATAAACTGATTGAGAGAGATATCAAGATAAAAACCCTGTAAAAGTTTGGCAATATATTATAACTATTCCAGGATCCATCACTCATTAGATATGTGACCTTGGGCAAATTATTTTATCATCTGTTAAAAGGATATATTATTATTATCTACCTCATCAAGTTGTAAGAACTAAGAAAGGTATTACATGAAAGATGCTCAGGAAAATCTATTATACTCTATGTGCTCAAAATATGTTAAATGCTATAATAATAATTATTATAATTACTATTAGTAATAGTATCTGTAGAAGCAAAGATGAGAGGATCAATGTATTTAGTCCTATCGGTATGCAAACTATTTAAAAGCCAGACTAATGGGGTCATGATTACACAGTGTTCTCCACCACGTTCTGAAATGCTCTGTCAAATTGTGGGTGCCATTCTTTAGAAAGAACATTGGCAAAATAGCATGCATAGAGGAAGGCACCCAGAATGGTTGGATGGATTGGGGGTGTTTATGCTGAAGAAAAGACAACTGAGAGTGGAAAGAGGCAGACTAGCTGATTTCAACTAACTGAATGATTAAATATGGAAAAGGAAACAGACCTAATCTGATGCTCAAGGCGAAGAACAAAAGTAATGGTTGCAAGCTACAGAAAGTGAGTTCATGCTAGGTGAGTGCAGCCAAAATAGAGGAAGAATAAGGCTATAAGAAGCAGGCAGAGGCCAGATAATCACCTGCAGTGTTTTACATTTTGGACTGATGCAGTACTACCATCTAACCTCAGTCTATATTCAAATGATACCAATTGTCCTATTAATGTCCTTTGTAACATTATTTTTCCCTGTTACAGGATCCAATGCAAGATTATGAGTTGCATTTAATTGGCATATCTCTTTAGTCTCTTTTAATCTCCTAGAATAATTCCTAAACCTTTCTTTGTCTTTTATGACTTTAATGTTTTTTAAACAATACAAGCCAGTTATTGTGTAAAACGCTGCCCCATTTTACTTTGTCTGGTACTTTCTCACAAATGGGTTCAAGTTATACATTTTTGGCAGGAATACCACATATGTGATATTGGGTCCTTCTCAGTGCATCATATCTGGAGGCACGTGATGGTTTGTTCTATAACAGTGAGGTTGATTTTGAGTCCTTGGTTAAGGTATGTCCACCAGATTTCTCCACTGAAAACTTACTATTTTTTTCCTTTGTGATTAATACATCAGTTATGGGGAAACACTTTGAGAGTAGGTAAATATTCTGTTCCTCAAACTCTCACCTACTAGTTATAGTATCTGAAAAATAACAAACATGTAAGTAGTACTAGAAAAGAAAACGTGAGGGCAGATGAAACAATAAGATAGTAAATGAGATAATAATCATTTAAAACACCTCAAAAGTGTATTACATATATAACAAAGATACTCTTTTAAAAACTATATTAATGAGCTTTTCCATTTTATGTAGAAGAAAAAGGGCCAGCACACCCCCTTTCCTTCCCCAGTAGAACTCAGTGTTGGGAAGAAAGAATCAGAGAAGGAGTGAGTAAGGTTCTTGTCCACTCACTGTCTTGTTCTGATGTGGCTTCAGAAACTTCCATGGGTTGTAAAGGATCCAGCAGTACATATATGCTCTGCTCAGAGGATAAGAAGGGCTGACAGCCCTGGAGAAAAGGAAGAAGCCTCGAGTCAGGATAAAGAGCCTGCCATGGCTGGCACTCCAAGACCTAGAGAAAACTAATGGGACCATGGGCTCTGATGTAAGGTGTCTATGCATTTAACTCATTTACCTTCCATTTGCTGTTATCTACTAATGCCTTGGAATGCTGAACACCAGAGCAATATGTGTAAGGGATCCATCCAGGGCAAGTAAGAAAAAGGCCCAGAAATCTTGTATCAAGGTAATCTGAAGAAGAAGAAGGCCATCCCAA